TACCGGGCCCCAGGGCTGTCCCACCGTGCGCCCCGCCACTTGGCTTTTCTTGTTCTCCCACGGGAGCAGCCACACTAGCTGCCTTTCTGCCAGCCCCGAGGCTCCTTGCCACACCTCGACCTCTCCCAGGTGGGGTTCCGCGGACCCCAGCGGGAGCAGGCGGCCGTCCAGCCTCCTGGCAGGCCAGACCAAGTCTCACATTCTCCGCCTGGAACTATTTTTATACTTCCTGGGGACTTGTGCGGAATGAGGGGCAGAGCAGGAGACTGAGGGAAAAGTCATCTAGGCCTGAGGAGAATTCGGGGAAACTCGTGCGCAGTCCTGGCATGGTGTGACATTGCTTTCTGTTTCCTCTTCTCTCCCTTATGTCCCCCTCAGTCTCTTCCCTCTTCCTTCTCCTTTGTAGTGCACCTTTCTCCACTTTCTACTTTTTCTCTCTCTCCATCTCCTTTTCTTTCTTTCTTTCTTTTTTAAAGATTTATTTATTTGTGCATACAGAACTGGGGTACAGGCCAGAGGCTCAGGGGTGGCGAGAGGCTTCACCAGAGACAGAGTGGGGTGCAGAACAGGCAGATCGACGAAGTCCACTGCTGAGGGGAGCAGCGGGCGGGTCAGGAGAGGTCTGCCGCGCCCTGTGGTCACCTCCGGGGCAGGCGGGGACCGAACTCATGTGGAAGCGGCTTTAGCTTCTCAGTGCTGTGCTTTAACCCGCCGCACCCCCAGGGAGGGCCCACATTTATTATTTTAATTGCTGTTGAAGTCCCACTGTTTACAACCTTGTCAGTGTTCTGACGGCGCACGACCCCCCCACCCCGGGGGGAGTTGCTGTGGCCTCCCACCACCCAAGCACCCCAGACCCCATCGTGGGCCACGATGCTCTGCCACCCACCTCGTCCTCCCCCTCACCGCTCCCCTCTGAAAGCCGCAGACCTGTGGTCAGCTTTCCAGGTTGGTCTTGAAGTTCATCCGCGCCTCACGTTGGTTTGGTTCCTCTGGACTCCACGTCCACGTGCCACCATCCAGTATTTCCTTTCTCCTGACTCGCCTCGTGAGCCCCGTCCCTCCCCGCTCCCTCCACGCTGCTGCGCACGCACGAGTTTATCTTTTTGATCGCTGAGTAGTACCGCTGAGTAGTACTCCCGCGAGCGTCAAGCCCCATCTTCTCGGTCCACGCATGTGTTTGGGGACATTCGGCTGCTTCCACATCTTGGCATTGTAAACAGTGCTGCAGTAGACATAGGGGTGCAGGTTTCCTTTGGAATTAGTGGTTTTGTATGTTGGGGCAGCGCCCTAGGAGGGGAATGCTGAGTCACGTGGCTGCTCCGTATTTAGTCTTCTGGCTCCCCTGTCCCCGCAGCCCCCCATTCCTTGCCAGTCCATTCCTGCGCTTTTCTCCATCCTCACATGCTGAGCGCTGTGCCAAGTGTTCTTTCTGATAAGCGCTTTTATGCATAATGGCATAACCCTATGGCCACACTGGTAGCGCCCCGTTTTGCCGGAATCTGAGACGCAGGCCCAGTCCACTCTCCAACAGGTATTAACAGAGATTCGAGCTCCACTTAGCTCCGCCACCCGTCCATGGCCTCTTTTCTCCAATCCCAGCACCCCTTTGTCATAAGCCTCCGTTTGCCTCTCTCCCTTCACCCCTCCCATCTTGTGGACACCCCACACCCTGGTCCCGCACGTGTGGCTGACCCAGAGGTGCTGAAAACAGCACATGTGCCCAGAAGAGCTGACAGACCTTCAGGTTTACTCCTTCACTTTCCTCCGGTGTAAGCGCCACTGTGTCCCACACCTGGAGCCGAAGGGCCTCAGCACCCACACAGCCAGGGGAGGCATCTGGAGACCTGGGTGCGTCCAGGGGGAAGGCACCAGAGATGGGCACTTCTGCTCAATCACAGACACCCCACTTCAGGACACTGCGTGCTCCCAGGGTGGGGAGGAGTGACTGGGCGAGGTGGGGGCTGGTCTCCTTCCAGGGACCATGACGTGTGCACCCGCCCACAGATGTTCGGATACGCTGGGGCATGTGGGCAGTGAGCAGCGCAGATGTGAAGGTCAAGGTCTGATCTTGACGGCCTCTCAGTTCCTCAGAACCTGCACTTTTAGGGTTCTAAAAATACTTATACTCTTAGAAGGGAATATTTATGTTCGGTGCTCTCTGTTTTTAGGGGGGGAAGTCACTTTGTTGATTGGGATTGGTTAGTGGCTTCAGCCGTAATTTATTGCTCACCAAGTAAGAATTCTGGAGGTAGGAGATTCGGAAGCTGATTCAGAGGCCTCCGGCCCAGCGGGCATTTCTGAGATGCTCTGAGCAGCTTCCAACTTTTGACTCACAGAACTGCTCAGGGCAGCGGGCAGAGGGGGTGGGAGGACGGAGGACCAACGAGGCCCCTGTCCTTTACCAGGGGGCGAAAACCCTTTTCTAGAGTACTCTCTGCACACAGACTCCCCACACCCTGCTAAGTACAGGGGAGACGGGGCAGCTGCTATCTGGCCTGCTGGGGGACCCAGGCAGGAAACAGGAGGCCTCGTGCTCGCCACCCCCCGGCCCCCTTCATTCATTCAGCTGAGACTTACTGAGTGTCCGCTCTGGGCCAGGTGCAGGTAATACAGGGGGGGAAATGATGCCCATTCTTGGGGACCCCCTCCTGCAAGACCACAGGCAGGGGGGTACAAAACAAGATGGCAAGTCTAGAAAGCTGGGCGTGTCCCGGGGGCCCACAGGAGTGGACGAGGCTGAGAGTCAGGGAGAGCTGAAGGACGCAGTCAAGTTTTGAAGAGCAGAGGGGATTCAGCTGGGGGCGCAGGCCGTGACTGCTGCAGCGTGTCCACGACAAAGCGACTGAGGGGAACCGTGGGAGTGCGGCGGGAGAAGCGGACACGGCTGACGCAGAAAGGCTCCGTGTGGGGCTCATTCTGGCGCAGGGAGGCCAGGCCGGGGCAGGGCCCTTCTGCAGACAGGACGCTGACCTGGCTGGAGGCCGCTCTGACGCAGCCCACGAGGCCGGCCGCCCACCGCATTCGTGGCTCGTCTGAGGTCCTGCTGTTGGGGACCCCAGTATGGCTGGTCCCTGCCGGTCAGGGCTGACGGCAGGAGGATGCTTCCGAGGTGGCTGCGCCTCCCCGTCTATCAGAGTTCCGCCTCGGGGAGCCACCAGTTCAATAGAATGCGTTTTCTGCCTAAAAGCCATTCAGACACACGCATGCTTTGCGGCGTGCTGTTCAGCATCTCAGACCTCATCTCATTTGCTCCTTGAACTCTGTTTTCGCCCTCCAAACTCCCCCCCAAATTCAGTGTAGCTGTTTTCATCCCCACTTTCCAGGCAAGGAGCAGACTCAGGGAGTAAATGCCCAGAGACACCCGCGGACCCCCGTCCTGGGTTTCCGCCACAACTCCGGTGTCCCCACTGTCTCCCGTGTCGGAGGCATCAGAATCCTGCGGGCTGCTCCCCGAAAAGCCGGATTCCCCGCGGGGATCACCGCAGACCTCTAGGGACGAGCGCGTAGCAGCCACAGCGCCACTCCGCTCCGTGAATCTGCAACGGACCTTGAGGCGCGGCTGCCACCCAGCCTGCCGGTGTGACCGCGCTGGGACCCCCACGCCACCCCACTGCTTTGGTTTGGGGGGAAGAGCACAAAGTCCCCCGCACAGCCCGGAAACCAGAACAGGCTTCGTCTGGCTTTGCCAGGCAGCCAGGCAGGGGCCGGGCAGAGCCGTTCTGAAGGCAGCTGAGGACCTCAAAAGCTCTAAACCTATTAGAGGAAACCGGTTTACTACACTCAGACTCACAGGGCTTCTCTCCGCACGAGGTCTAGAAACTCAACGAATTGGTGACGGCTGGAGTAGTTCTCAGAGTGGCGTCTGGCCAGTGCTCCCCAGGATGGCCACTCTGGTCACCTAACAAACCCACCGTCTTGGAGGCTGTTTGTAGTCAACACTGACATGACCACCCGATCTTCTTTTTATTTTTGCTGGTGTGTGTGTGTGTGTGT